CCAGCCAGGGTGAATCTGCCCGAGTGGTTCCCTTCCATCCCTGACTTCTGGGATTCTAAAATAGATTAGCATGAAGGGGCTGCGTCCTCTGAGCCCTCGGTGGATTTTCTGGCTCTTCTAGAACTTATTGCAAAGAATGGAAGCCATGCCATATGAGAAGTGAGCTGGGACTGGTGTGAGGAATTTGCAGCTGATAGAGAGTATAACTGATTAAGGGCATGGCTACACTTTCAGATGTAGAGCGCCGGGAGTTAAACCAGCCCTCGGAGACCGCAGCAGGGAAAACGCTGCCATGTGTTCACACTGTCAGCTGCAAGCGCAGGGGCGTGGCTACATTAGCAGCTCTTGCAACGCCACAGAGAGCAGTGCATTCTGGTAGCAATCCCAGTGTGCAAGTGGCTGCAGCGTGCTTTTCAAATCGGGGGGGTTGAGTGTGATAGGGAGCGTGTTGTGTGTATGTGGGGGGAGAGACTGTGTTTTGGGGGGCAGAGAGTGTGTCAGCATGCTGTCTTGTAAGTTCAGACAGCGGCAGAGGGAAGGGGGAAACCCCGACATCAGCCCCCACCCCCACCTCTCTCTCTCTCACACACACGCACAAACGCCTGCCTCTGCAGCAGGACATTCCACAGTGATGGTTGCTTTGTGTCCCGGAGCAGATAAGCATGCCGGCTGTCAGAAATGGAGCTTTGAGAGGGGATATCCGCATGCCTGCAGCCCAGTTCAAAACAATGAGAAGAGTAGCCACTTGACTTCAAGGGATTATGGGACGTTTCTGGGGGCCAATCACAGCACAGTAATGCAACACGTCATCCACGCTGACACGCAGGCATTTCAGCCAGGAAGCAACAAGCTTTATGCTTCTCATGGAGGTGGATTACCAGGAGCGCTCCAGCTGCCGAGTCCAGGCGCTCTAAGTGCCTTGCCAGTGTGGACACCTCAGGAGTTTAGGATGCCCGGGGCTGATTTAATGTGCACTAGGCCAGCGTTTAACAATTTGGTTAAGTGGCTAAGGCATGCGGGGAGGAGTCAGGAATCTGAGCTCCATGCCCAGTTCTGCTACTAACTTATCCTGTGACATTCAGCAAGTCGCTTTAAATAAAAGCCAAAGAAACCCCCTCTTTGACTCAGTTTTCCCATCTGTAAAGTGGGGTTAATAATGCTCCCACAGCTTTGTAAGGTGCTTTGGAAATTTAGGATGAAAACTACCAAGTAGATAAGTGCTAAGATTTCTTAGAACTCATGTGTTGGCTAGTGAAATGAGGGCTTTAAATTGAGCCCTTAATCACCTCCTAGATATTTAGTAATGCAAGGGAATTCTTACTTCCCCACTGTGCAATCTATAAACTGTAGCACAAGTGCCCTTATTTCTAGTGGGTATGTGTCAAAGCTGCATATCTGTCAAGAAAAGGGCCAGCAAATGATTGATACCCTGACCATTAATCTCTAGAATTAGTAGCTCCAAATCCGGCATGTGCGTGTATTCAACAAAAAAATGAACTCCGGGAGATTTATAGTGAATAACTGTCATTTAATGTAGATTTGGTTTCAGAGATGAAGAGAAATATCTACACAAGCATGTAGATGAAGTGGGAAAACTTTAATAAAAATCACTTGTTTCTTTAAAGCATTCGGTCCTGTCATTTATCACCCAACACACAATAGGCAGAATACTCAGATGTTAGCAATTGTGTATGATCAAAGCTTTATCAAAGTGTTCTTTATTATTAACAGCAACAAAAGGAGGAACCGCATTCTAAAAAGAATGAAAACAGTTGGAGGCATATAATCATGTCAGCTGAAGACAGATCTTGCTATTCAAGCTTTCCAAGCAACTTTGATGCTCACCCTAACAGTGATCCTGGAGCTGACGTGAAGGCTTGCCTCTTCCTCCTCCTCCTCCCTTGAACAGCTCCACCCAGCATTTACATCTCCGTCAATTGGTTTTCTTTTCTTTTTTTTTTTCTTTTCTTTTTCTAAACTATTTACAGTCTTGTTCTCGGTCTCTTTCTGTCTGTGTCTTGGCTTCCTCAGTCGATTTAATTAAAATGAAAAAAATTTCCCCTGGTAAAAAACAAACCAAAAAAAAAAAAAACAGAATCTAAATCCAGCCACAAGCAGATGACTGATTTGATTTATATGAGGGATGAATTTGTCTTTGGAGGTACTAAAATATCTGAGCCATCACGGCACTACTCCAGGTTTATGCTGGTGATTAATTTCACTCGAAATTTAGGATTGATTCAGGGGTAGAGGTGAAGGTGATTTATAAAGAGACATAAGATGATGGGCTCTAACTTTGGTATTGGAACCACCCAGGATGGGACTAAATTTCCCAGGGAAGGAAATAGGTCAGTTCAAGGCCCTCACTGACTATAAAGACATGGAGTATGGGCCTGATGCCTTTGTCATCAGTGGGGTAACTGAAAGTAACCTGCTAGACTGAACCACAGGCGTGAGATGGGCCTTATTAAACACAGAGGAAGCAGTGAAGGCTTTTGTGGCAAATAGCCTCCTTCAAGGAGAACCAGTCTGGCCAGTCCTTAGGTGCTCAGCACAACCTAGAAGGTGGTGGTAATGCCTCTGCTTCCCAAAGTGAAGGAAGAGCTCTCTAGAATGGTCTAACAGAGCACATTGGAGAGACAAGGGGCATGAGACAATATCTTTTATTGGACTAACTTCTGTTGGTGAGAGAGACAAGCTTCCGAGCTACACAAGCTTGTGTCTCTCACCAGCAGAAGTTGGTCCAATAAAAGACATGACCTCACCCACCTTGTCTCTCTAATATCCTGGAACCAACCCAGCTACAACAACACTGTACATCCAGACCTGCGTAGCCCTAAAGACTCAACAGAGCAGTAAGACAGAGCCTTCCATGAACCATGGAAAAGAAGGGCCTAGGTCCTCGGCTGTGGCTAAGACGCATACCTCACAACTCGGGAGGTGGGAGAACAGGGGTTAAGGCAGCTTTGCATTCTCATGATCATAGGCCAACAGCAGGCCCAGCCAGAACTGCCAACAGGGGGCTAATTGCCAAGGGGCCCAGGCGATTTAAAAGGGCCTGGGAGGGCCGCATGCTCCTAGGTGCATTCAACCGCTCCGGGCCCCATGCTTTGAGGGGCCCTGTGGGCCAGTGCGATTGGCCAGCGCTGTCGGTCCCGGAAGTGAAGGATTCCTCACTTCTGCCCCGGGCCCCGCACTCCCCCTAGGGACGGCCCTGTCCCCAGAGCCAGGAATTGCTGATGGCGGGCCTGTGCCCAGCATAAGCTAAGGTAGGCCTGGAAGTGACACAATAGGAACGGGCCTGTTTCTAGGAGCAGCAAGATACTGGGGATTCATTTCAGAATACTTTTCAAGACTCTTGGACAGAGAAGGAGCATGTCTCCCGAGCTGCTGGGAGGGGGGCTGCTCCATGGGGTCCCACTGTCACTATCTACAACCAGGGAGGCCGGCTCACAGTGTCCACTGCCAGCATTCTGCTTTCCATCTCTGGAGATAGACCGGTGCTAAAGCAATAACGTCTCCTCCCCTGGGCCACTCACCCATTCACCCTGGCCTCTGTAGGCAGGTGGTTAAGGTCATTCTCCTGAGGAGAGGGGTCACAGGAGGTCCGTCCCCCCTCTGGCTGAAAACTCCATGGTTTCACTTTCATTTTCCAACCATGGTCACAGAGCAGGCAAAACAAGTGTCCTGCTAATCAGCAGGTCACGGTGGTGCAGGAGCAGCACAGATCAGGCAGGCTTATCATGGGGAGTACACACTGGCCCCATCAGTGCCCTTTGTAACTCCGGCTCCACTGAATTCACTGGAGATTTTGCCTGGGTTAAGACTGAGTTCAGAATTTGTCCCGAAGGGGCAGAGCCAGGCAGGGCCCAGGCCTAGAATCTCAGCTGGGTTCTGGGAAGATCTGCAGAGGGAAGAGTGAGTCCTCCCATCAAAGCCAAGCTATGGCAGTAGAACTGTTCCACCAAGGCCTTAGCCTAACGGCCTGATTAGACTCTGTGATGCTAACTCACTCACTCTAAGGTGGGGGAGGAGTTATACAGTATGGGATCCTCTGCCCAGGCCTCACCTCCAAATACTGCCTGGACACTGCTGTACAGGGACCCCCTGCAGATCTGTGCTGCACAAAGTGCAGGGTTCCACGTAGCCCTGGCAGCTCCCTCAAATCCTGTCCCCACACCTGGGGCAATGGAATTGCCCTTGTTCTATGCTTGTTGGGAGTGTGGGGAGCAGGACTGGCCCCTAAGTGCATGGACTGACAAACACTTGAAATCATTTTAACGTTCCATAATTATTGTGTTGCACCCAAACCGCAGAGAGCATAAAACATAGATTTCCACTGGCATTTGTGAATCCAAGCTTCAGATGTGGGTGCCTCAGGATTGGGGCCTAAATTCAGGTATCAGCAGCTACCTGCTTCTCTAGAGGCACCTAGGGTTGGATTTAAGTGGCTAAAACAGGAATGTAGGTGCCTAAATAGTGATTTCTGCAATCAAGTTTGAAAATAGGGCCCTATCTTGTTATCCAAGATAACAGTCTCAAATCCAGTCCCTGCTCAATTCCACCCATTGTATGGCACTGTAAGCCAGCCATTCATACCATATTCCTTAAATCAACTCCCTTCCCCGGGCACAGCATTTCCAACTCGTTCCCAGCGCTTGCAGGCTCCTCTTCCCCCAGTGGCCCCCTCTTCCCCTAATTTAACTCAACCTTCAAATGAAAGCTAAAGTCAACTTGTTTTAATGACCACATCCGTTTGTTTATCGTGTTTTTAAATAATTTCCTTCTGGAAACGAAGCCTCCCTCAGAGAATAAACCACCTTGTAGAAATAGGGTACAACCCCACAAATCAGGGCATCTACTTGGGGGTGGGGGAGGGTACACAATGAGAGTACTTGTTTTCTTGGAAAGTTTGCAGCTAGAAACTGCTCGGGGCACTCCTCCAAGACCTTTCTTTCCCCCTGTAGCAGCTGCCATTTGATCCCATGCTTTGGCTTTGAATGGAGTGCCCTGAGAGAGCCAGATGTTGTGAACAAAGGTCTAAAAATAATCTGTCCAGTGATCATTCAAGGGGAATATGTGCCTCGTGGGAACATGAGATGGGAGAACCTGATCTATCTTTGAACAAGAAAGTTCAACAGCAACTCCTGGCTCCTGATTCTGGGCTCCCAAACTTTTTTTGTTTGTTTGTTTTTTTGCCTCCCAGAAGCTGCCCAGTAAAGAGCCGGTTGCTTCAGCAGTCAGCTCTCTCCCTCCCTCTGATTCGTCTGGCTCCTTGAAAGCTGGGATCCGTATTTTTTTATTTCTCATCAGGAGCATGGACTCCAGCAGCAATCGCCTGGTGCCCAAGCTGCATTTCTGCAAAAAGCTCTTTGCTGCAGCCTTATGTGTCTCAATCTTACTCCCAGAATCGGGCTTTGCAAAGAATCTCTGGAAACGTGCTCTCCATCTGAAACTGGCAGAGAAGTATGATGTGAGTACCTAGCTTGGAGGGGAGGGGGGGACATTATATGTGAACTAGCGGGAGGCAGGCGTATGTAATGGTGTGAGTTCCCTAAGTCCAGTGTGTCCTTTGAGAATGATCAGTATTTGGATCCTACGCTTTTTCTGTTTGTAAGAGGGCTTGTTTAAGCTTGCTAGGCTGTGTTAAATTTTTACCACCTATTTGCTGCAACATGAGACATACAGATAAGGGCACACTTTATACATTGAAAAATAAATTTGTAATGCCATAGCCACAGCCCAAGGAGGTGCTCTGCACCGGGAGAGGCTGGAGAAGGGAAACTTAAAAGGAGAATGTGGTTGCAAGTGCAAAACCCATATAAATGTGCATAGAAGTGCTAGCATGAAATACCAAAAGGGAAGTAGCATGGTGCACTGCTTAGAGCAGGGGGAATTGGGAGTCAGAATTTCTGGGTTCTAAGCCCAACTCAACCACTGGCTTGGTGTGTGAGTGATCTAGGGTAAGTCACTTCATCTTTCTGTGACTCATTTTACGCATCCACTGTAAAGTGAGGATAATATGTACAAGGGTTTTGTGACATTTAGCTAATGAACAATTTTGTAAAGTGTCTTGAGATCCATACATAAATGGTACTATGTATATACATGTAAAGAGGTCGTTCCTGTCATGGAGCAAGTAGTTCAAGGGAGAATCCATTCTCAGGTCTGCCTCCTCTTATAGAATCATCGAAATTCAGGGCTGGAAGGGATCTGGAGAGGTCTTCTAGTGCAGCCACCTGGGCTGAGGCAGGACCAAATATACCTAGAACCATCCCTGACAACAGGTGTTTGTCTAACCTGGTCTTAAAAACTTCCAGTGATGGGGATTCCACAACCTCCCTGGAAGCCTGTTCCAGTGCCTAACTATCCTTAGAGTTAGAAAGTTTCCCCCAATATTTAACCTAAATCTCCATTGCTGCTGATTAATCCCATTTCTTCTTGTTCTACCTTCAGTGGACATGGAGAACAATTGATCACCCTCCGCTTTATAACAGCCCTTAACATATTTGGAGGCAGTTAGCAAGTTCCCCCTCTGTCTTTTTTTCTCAAGACTAAACATGCCCAGTTTTTTTAACCTTTCCTCATAGGTCAGGTTTTCTAAACCTTTCAGCATTTTTGTTGCTCTCCTCTGGACTCTCTGCAATTTGTACACATCTTTCTTAGTGTGCTGCCCAGAACGAGGCACAGTACTCCTGATGAGGTCTCACCAGTGCCAAATAAAGTGGGGCAATTACCTCTGGTGGCCTAGATACAGACAGAGGTGAAAGTAAAATTGAGCTCTTATTGGTACGGGACCAGCTCTGGCCCCCCCAGAAGGGGTGGGGCCTCAGGCGGAAGGGGCGGGGCTGGGGTCAGTGACCCCCAGCCAGCCCATCTGCGCTGCCTGGCCCGCGCCACCCGGGGCTCCAGTGGCAGCGACGGCCGGAGCCCTGGGCCCTTTTAAATCGCAGCCCGGGGTCAGTTATTTCTTCTCCTCCCCTGTCCATTGGCGGCTGGGGGGGCACAAAAGGGGCAACGACATTCAAGCGCTGCCACGGCAGCACTTGAAAGTCAGCGGTATGGGCCGGTACTGATGGCTACTTTTTACCGGTACGCCGTACTGGCCCGTACCGCCTTACTTTCACCCGCGCAGACAGCGCTCCTGTTAATATACCCCAGGATACTAGCCTTTTTCGCAACTGCATCACATTGTTGACTCTCATCCCCCAATTTGTGATTCACTATAGTCCCCAAATCCTTTTCTACAGTACTACCACTTAGCCAGTTATTCCCCATTTGGTAGCTGTGCATGTGATGGTTCCTTCCCGAGTGTAGTACTTTGCACTTGTCTTTAGTGAATTTCAGCTTATTGATTTCAGACCAATTCTCCAATTTTTCAAGGTCATTTTAAATTCTAATTCTGTCCTCCAAGGTGCTGGCAAACCCTCCCAGCTTGGTGTCATCTGCAAATGTTATAAGAATACTCTCCATTCCATTATCCCATTTACTAATGACAATATTGACTAGTACCAGACCCAGGACAGACCCCTGCAGGACTCCACTAGATATGCCTCCCCCTCCCCCTCAGTTTGACAGTGAACAGTTAATAACTACTCTTTGAGTACAGTCTTTCAACCAGTTTTGCACTCACCTTATAGAAATTTCCTCTAGACCACAATTCTCTCGTTTGCTTATGAGAATGTCATGTGGATCTGTGTCAAAGCCTTACTAACAGCTTTGCCCCCTATCCACTAGGAGAGTAACCCTGTCAACGAAGGGAATTAGATTGGTTTGGCTTGATTTGTTCTTGAGAGATAAAGTGGGTGATGTAATAACTTTAATAAAAATTTTAAATCTTTTATTGGACCAACTTCTGTTGGCGAGAGAGACAGACTTTCCTTTTCCCCCTATGACTAGAGAGGTGTTAATAGGCCACTTCACCTTGAATGATCCCTTGAAATATGTGTTAACAACCCATGCTAAACAATCTGCTCCACCTTGCATTTAGCTGTGACACTCTGAGTACACTTCCCAGACCTGAGGAAGAGTTCTGCGTAAACTTGAAAACTTGTCTCTCTCTCCTTGTCTCTCTAATATCCTGGGACCAACATGGCTACAACACTGCAAAAATGATTTGTTCTTGACTATTCTCTGGAAGTACCTCCTCCATTCTGCCTCCCCAGACTTTTGACAGGTGTTCATTAGCACTGCTTGCTGGCGTGGGTTTCTGGCTGACATGCCGTCATCTGGGTCCAGCCTCACTCTTATCTTCAGGCCATTACAGCTGAGAACAAACCAGTGAAATGCAGGAAACTTCCTGCAAAAGCACAACACGCTTTTCTAGCAAGATTCAAATGTTTCCTACCCAGTAATCCAGTTGCAATGTACTTGAAAACCCTTTTTTGCTTAATTAGTATGTTGCAAAGAGAAAACTAGCCAGGCAGTTAGTCTCCAAAGTGGTACTGGACACTATGATCACAGTGTTCCAACTCTGAAAGGTTGTCCATCAAGATCAGTAGCAGCAAAGCTGCAACTATTCTGTGTACACGGAACAGAAGGGGAGGGGTTGGGCCTGAGCAAGTTTCTGGAGTTCAAAATATTCTGGGCCAAAAGACTTTTCTCAGTATTGCCAAACGTTCAAAAATCATGAGTCAGGCTCACCAAAAATCATGAGATTGGCTTTAAAATCATCCAATGTACAGTATATTGTTTCAGTTACAAAGATCTTTTAGCTGATGCAGTCAAGACCATGACTCTGGATATCATCCAAATAATGTGGTATGTGGCACTGCATACAAACAAAAGTGCTTAGCCCAGAAAAGGAAGCTTGGTTGGAACCACAGCTTGGTTGGAAGGAGTACTGCAGAAAGGGATCTGAGAGTCATAGTGGACCACAAGCTAAATGAGAGTCAACAGTGTTGCAAAAAAAGCAAACATCATTCTGGGATGTATTAGCAGGAGTGTTGTAAGCAAGACACGAGAAGTAATTCTTCCGCTCTACTCTGCGCTGATTAGGCCCCAACTGGAGTATTGTGTCCAGTTCTGGGCACCACATTTCAGGAAAGATGTGGACAAATTGAAGAAAGTCCAGAGAAGAGCAACAAAAAGTATGTAGATTATGTAAAAAAAAACAATAGATTTGGGGTTCTTTTTATTTGCCTTCTACTTTTTGAGTCTTTAGGTTCGGGGTTTAGTGCACTGGGGTCACATTTTGAAACTTTCTCCACAGTCACGAGGGCAAGAAACTTACTTTTTCTTTAAGCATGAAGGCTGAAATCATCACATATCCACTTGACTCCAGGAGCTGGGGCTTTAAGGAAAACAATAATTATCATGAGACTTATGACAAAATCATGAGAGTTGGCAACACTGTTCTAAATGTCAACAAAAAGGAGGAAAAAGGTATACAATTTTTGTAAAAAGAAAATTCCTAGTTAAAAATTCAAGGCATGCTATTTAAAGGGGATCTCAGAAAAAGGGTTGCTTTTTTTAAAGTAGCAAATTAAAAAAAAATTCACGTTGACCTTGTCCTTTTAAAAGCCAACATTGGCCAATGCCTTTTGCCTCCTGAATACGTTGGGTCAAAATTTCAGCCATTGTTAAGCTGGCATCTGTTTCTGCATGCTCAAGTTTGATTGGCCCACAAAGTAGATGCTAAACTTGTTTTACGTGTGCACTGTTGGTGCAGGCACCCAGCTACTCCAGAGGAGCACAGCGAATGGGTTGTGCACACCGAGAGGTTGGGCACTCACATTAGGAGGCACAACCAAGGTCCACAAAGACAAAATGCCAGGGGCTATGGCCCATGAGGCTGACAATGACATGTTCAGTAGCAGACTTGCTCTGCACACGCGACAGGTGTTTTGTGAAGTGTGGTGCACTGGAAAAAATACCATTATTATTAACAATAATAAGTCTGCCATGTTGCAAAACCACTGTGAAGTCAAAATCTGCAATATTCTGCTTTCCACAAAAACTATGAAGCAAAAGACCCAGACAGATAGGATCCTGTGTTTTGATGTTCAGATAGCTTGTTCTATAAAGGCACAGAATCCTTTCCCTTAAATATGCCCTCCTCCTAGAACCAGTGGCTTTTCAAAGGACTGTTTTTCTGGCAGCAGCTAATCCAGGTGCTACTGATCTGGCAAGCTCAGGAGTAATCACTTTCTCTAGGAGGGAGTGGAAGCTGCATTTCTCTCTCCCTTCCCTTGCACGCTTGAAGAAGGAGAGTTCCAATGTCTGACTTTTCCCTTTGCAGAGTCTCTCTCTGTCTGGTGTCTGGTTCTGCACAAATGTGCTGCATTGTCCATGCCTGGCTGAATGCACACCAGTCATGCAGAGTGGGGAATGCTCCTGTGATCAGCCTTTTTCTTTCTCCACCTAGACCCTCGCATCTCATCGGACAGGGTTGTCTTTTTGGGGAAGAGGGAACATTGTTCTTAGTCCGTTGTTTGACCTGCCCCAAGCTAATGTATTTGTTGCCTCCTGCTT